TTTGTTTCCTCTCTTTTGCAACACTCCCAGGCCGCAGTCTGCATGGCAACACTCTCAGCGTGACACTTCCGTCACCCAGAGAGCGAAGAGGGAGGAAAGGAGCGCCGGAGCATGGACCTATCTCTCCCCGCTCACAGGCCACCCATAATTCATTAGCTCTCCTTCTCATCCTCTCCGGGTTTCCCCTCTCTGCAGTGTGAAAGCGGATATTTGCTGGAATGAAGCTGCTGACGGTCGTTTATTTTGCAGCTTTCAAATCTGACCCTTTTTTTTCACAGCGAGCCTCATTTAAAAAACGTTTTATTGAAAAGCGGGGAAGAGGGAACCAAGACGCATCCTTAACACCTCAGACTTGTCAGGAACCGTCTTCATTCTGACACATTTAAACAGATTTATACATTCCACCAAATGGAAAACAGAAAAAAAAACAACCTTAAAGGAAGAAAGTAGATGTAGACGGAAACGAAAAGGATTTTCTGCACATTAGCCACTGGTGCAGCGCAGCTTTACTCTGACCTATTGGCGTGACCCGGGAGAGACAAGAAAAACTCACTCCAGCATCCCGCCTCTTTCCTTTCTTGCTTTTGGCTTCACTTCCAGCATCCATCACTCAGACACACAAAGAGATTATTCCTCTTTTTTCCCTGATTTTCAGCAGGCAGAAGGCCAGGCTCCTGCTTTCTTCTCCATCCTCTCATAACTCCCATTTTCTCGCCCAGAAACGGACTCTTTATTTAGCTTACCCCCTACCTTTATGTCAAATTTACCTAAAGACGATTGCAGCGAAATGCAACAAATGAAATAAAAGGACAGGGAAGGAGGAATCCAACCATCCTAGCAGGAAGAAATCTGCACTTCTGTCTGTTAAGCCGAACGACATAAAGAGGGTTGGTTTGTCGCTGGGGGAAACACTCAGAGGTTCAGAGCCGCTTCGTGCAGTTCCTTTGAGAATCAGACTATAACGAAGTAAAGCACTAAAACACAGCCGGAGGGAGTGATTAGAGTGAACGCGTGTGTGTTTACGTGTACAGCAGAGAGTGAGGAGAGCGAGGGGGGGTTGTGGGGAGCGCCACGCTCCAGGCGGTGCATTATTAAACAGATTTGTCACTTTGGACCGGCGCCGTTTGGAGTGTGAGCGCGCACGTCTGCCGAACCTCGGGTGGAAGATCCAGGAAGGAAGGAGGAGACAAGAGAGATGGAAAAAAAACAACCCTGAAATTAAAATAATGTGGAGGAAAATAATGGAGGGGGGGGGGCTTTATGCAGCAGAAATCAAATAAATAAATAATCACAGTTCAGAAAACAAACATGGGTGTTTGTTGGCCCCGCCCTCTATGTTTGTGACGTCATTGAAAACAGGAAGGGGGGCAAAAAAACAACAACAACGAGCCGCAGTAAATAATGAATGCGCAAAAATAGACGAATGAAAAACAAATATAGAGAAATAAAAAAAATTTACATGTTTGAATATTAAATTAGTAACATGGAGGGGGGGGCTGATTATCTGGGGATGGAAGAAAAACACTGCTGGCGATTTTTTAGAAACAGGTAAAAAAAAGACAAATTAAAGGAATCGAATCAATGAAATAATAAATGTTGAGATTTAAATGCAATAAGACATAAAAAAGTTTGAGCGTCTATAAATTAATCGAAAGAAATCATTAAAAAATAAAAGAAATTAGAAATAAAACAGCAAGATTAATAGAATAAATGTTTTTATATGGCACTCAATGAAATATTTTAAAATTTCAAGACAATAGTATTATTGGAATCCAGGAAAAGACCTTATTACCTTTGAACACTGCAAAAAACAATCTCGAAATAAGTAAAAAAGTTCTTAAATTAAGTATATAAATAAGATAATTTGCCAATGGAATGATTGGTTTTACTCTTATAATAAGATAATTAGATAAAATGCAATTGTTTTTTCTCATTTTAAATGTAAATTGTCTTGTTCCATTGGCAAAGTGTCTCTTTTACCTCCTCAATTGAAGAAAATATGCAATTATTTTAAGAAAAAAATACTTATTTAGATGTCAATTTTTTGCAGCGTAACATTTAACAATTATGGATGTTTTGATGGCAAAAATTGATCAAAGTAATAACAAGAAACGCAAACTTGCCCGAATATATAAAGAAAAATAACAAAATTTCCTCTATAAGAAGAAGGAGAGTGAAAGAAACTGTTTGTTTTTTTCGGTACAACATAACCTTAGAGGCATTAATACTGACACTGACACTTATATTTGTTACTTTATAAACCTATATTTAATTATTAACTTTTTAACTTTAAGCTGGCCGTTAAACACAGTTTAGGCCTGAATTAAAACATTCACTGTCCTCAGAACATGACTAAGACCCGCGCACACAAACACCTAAGAAATCCTGCAGCTCCTGACAGAGAAAAAGGAAAGAAAGAAATAAAAAAAAGCAGCTTCTTCATCTGCTGCGACAGACAGCAACACTTGTTTTAGTCAAAAATAGCTTTAGAGAGAAAAAGTCCTCTATCTGTGTGTGTGTGTTTGGAGGGGAGAGGGGGGGCTGTGATCTGGAAGCCTGCGGAGGCCAATCTGACTTTAGGAGCGAATCAAACCAGACGAAGGCTAGAAGAGGCAGCGGACACAGAACAAAGAGTCCGAGAAGAGAAGAGACACAGCCTGTGAACGCAGCTCTGCAGCGGACTGGGAATGAGAGAGCAAGGCGGCTGGAATATGGCTGCAACATTACTCCGGATCATTTCTACTATTTACACTTCAAACAAATCAGAGCGAATGAAGAGAGCCTCCGGGAAGCTGAAGGTTTGCAGAGATTTTTACTCTGTAGAATAAATGCTAGTTTGCCTCTAAACACTATTTTTTTTTTTGCAAACTAACTCTCAGGTTTTCTCCAAACTTTCTCCCTTCTCCTCTGGGACCTCGTGTCCGGCTGCTTTCCCACCATCCAGCCTCAGATCAGTGATTATCTGTGATTCCAGAGAGGTGGCCCAGTCCCATCCGCCCTGTGATGGATCAAAGGCTGAGGAGTCCTGGACGGGATCAGAGCAAAACCAGTTACTGGACCAGTTCCAGCATCAACCGGATGAAGAGGGGCCTAAACAAACGCAACGAAACCCCCTGAAATAGCTCATCACGCGACCCCATCAGCGCCCTCCATCATGCGTCATGCTGTCCTCGTCTCATTGGACCGAGATAAAAATAACCGAGCAGCAAGTTTCCAAAACGTTTGTCGGTTTGGATCCGAGGCTACATTTAATTTTCCCAACATAAAACTAAACATGAAGGGAAAAAAAAAGGCTTTTTGACTAATTTATCCTCTGGGTGCTACTCTGAAGCTAAAACAGAGCCACACACTCAGACCATCAGAGGGGATTTAAAGATTCAGACGCAGCTCGTCCTAATTAGGCAGATGGATTTGCACCTCTCCTTCAGTCCGCTGGGATATAAAGCGACACATGATGCAGGCAGACAAACCCTTTAAGTGGATTAATTAAAACCAACACAGAGGGGTCAAAGGTCAGGCCCCCAGTTCCTTTGCACTGTCCTGTTTCGGTGGACTGGAGCTGCAGGACGGAGAGGGTGGATGTTTCAGACTAATTGGAGCCAAAGGTTTGTCTGATTTCCAGAGAATTTCTAATAAAAGAGAAACTCCGGCCTCCTGCGTGTGTGTGCGGGGGGGTAGGAGAACGGCGCTGCTGGTGGCGTGCACGGCGGCGTTCCTATTTACTCCCCTGCAGCCGACGGGAGGCAGGCAGCAGAGAAAACGCCTCTCTGATGCTCCGGCTCGTGCACGCGCACATATTTGTCACATTAACTCCAGATTGCATTGCAGTCAGATTCCAGAGAGCTGCAGTAATCGCCTGTTTGGGATCATTTCTGCCTCCTCTCACAGTTTCATTTCTGCTGCAAAGCTGATTCAACTTTTGGAGAAACAGGGTTTGTCCTGAAAAAAAACAACCAGCTAAGAGTAAAGGAGGCAAGCCTCATTAAAGAGACATCTCTCAGGTGTTGCTGAGCGTGACAATCCGGCGAGTGCTGCTCTTTATTAAAACGCCCCATGGTTGGACAGGGACAGCCGCTCCTGCGTCTAATCCGAGAGGAAGGTTTAATAATGAAGCGAGGAGGTAAATACTCCTGCTTCCTTCCTTCCACATCAAATTTGGATTCATCCCTTCAGCTCGGCGCTGACCTTTCCACCTGTGGAGCAAACACAGCCGCCCAGAGGCCAGCTTCTGATTATTAATTAGTGATTATGTGGGTTAGAAGGAGCCAGGAGACCTGTCCCCGTTAGGTAAATGGAGCGAGGAGTTTATTTATGGGGTAGCTGTCCGTCCTATTTCTCAGCCTGAATGGTCATCAGCGCATCACTGATCCCCCTTCCTCATTTCCTATGTTTGAGGATGATGATGGGGGTTGAAGGGGGGGAGATAAAAGAGAGGAAGTATTCAGATGAATTTGTGACAGTCCAGAGAGAAATGATTTATTTATGAAACGGATGAAATGTGAAATTCATAAGCTGAGGTTTAATGATGGCGGCAGCTTTCAGTGATCTGCGGGTTTAATAGCTGTTTGACACACGCTTGACCTTTGACCTCAGGCTTTCCCCCTGCATGATTCCACAACCAAACGCTGCAGAACATGTTCCGATGTTCTCTAACGGCGCGCTGCGGCGGGCAATCAGCCGTGGCCAAATGTTTCAGGATAAAATTCCTGGAGGGGGGGGGCGGACTTTTCTGGCAGCTCAAACATTTGGAGGGATGATATCAGCGTGGGGTGGGGGGGTGGGGTGAGGGGAGTGGGAGGGAACGAGCGCTGTTCCCACTTCTAGGCTGGAATGGGAGAAGTTTGGGAATGATGGAGGTGAATGAGATGGAGGAAGGAGAGCGGACCGTGCGTAATTACGCACCGCGGTCCGCAGCCTGCGCCCCGCGTCCCACCCTGCAGCGCCGCGCTCACAGCCCGGAGGAGGAGGCTGTGGTTCGGAGAGACGGGCCGGCCGCTTACCTTAACACGTTCCAGCTTTTCAGAGGGTCCAGGTCTGAAATTATAGAAACCATTTTCGGCTGGCTGGGGCTGGGCAGCACCGGGAGAGGGCGGGAGGAGGCTGCAGCGGGAAAAGGATCGAAAGAAAAAAGCGGCGCAAAGGCTGTAAACTCCGTCTGCGAATGACAGCAAACGCTGGGATGCGAGCTGTCCTGGTTGTTCAGAGGCTGATGAGCGCTGTCACAGCTCTCTCTCCTTCCCCTCTGCCTCCCTCCTTCTCTCTCTCTCCCTCTCTGTCTCTCTCCGCCCCCTCCTGATCCAAGCCTGAGCTCAGAGCTGCCTCTGCTCCGTCCTTCAGAGGCTGGCAGCTGCTGCAGGAAACGCAGCAGCTTTTTACTCCGTTTATCCAAAAGAAATAAGGAAACTAAATGTTTTCATTTCTAGGTTCCCATTTTAAATGATCTTCTGTGTTTCTGCTCCTTTATCTTCCCCAAAGCACTGCAGCTTACCTGCATATAAACAGAAAACCACAGCTGGATCCAAACAGCTTCCTCTAATAAGATGTTGTCATTGGAAACATGGAATCGATGCATGCAGACGTTAAGTCATCTTATTTTCTAGTTTTTAGACTAAAATCAAAGTAAAAAAAATAGAAACATCTAAAGTTTGCTTTTTCATTTTCTGTTTACAAACAGTGGCGGTTCTATGCCGACTGTCGCCATGGGCAACACCTCCTCTGTCCCCATTTCTGTTTTAGTTCCCAACCACTGCATGAATGCAATGCATTCCTGGTTTGATATGGCAATAAATGTTATAGTTTTCATAACCGACTCAATCTAAATGGTTTTCCATAAAAAAGACTTTATTTTTTGTGTTTTTAACAAATAAAGTTTAAAAATCTCTGTTTAATGTAGTCTAGGTGGAAGTTCAACTGAATAAACTGATTACTCGCCTTCATCCACCTGCGACACAGCCAATCAGCTTTGAACCACGCCTCCATGAAAGCCAATCAGCATCCAAAGTTCCTCTGATCCGCAACTCGTCTGCTCCTGTGCGCAGGCGGTGGATGCGCTGTGACTTCATTCAGATGACCCCGTTTCAACCCACCTCCAGCATCGTAGCTAAAGCTTCATCAGAGCGTCATTCCTCCTGGACTCTTACTGTGTTCCCTGTCTCATCTTAACCATGTTGAGCCTGGTTTTGCCAGAGGTTTCTTCCCAAAGGGGAGTTTTTCCTCTCCACTGTCGCTTCATGCTTGCTCATCATGGACAGGTTCTCTCAACCTGTGTTATCCAAGCTGGACTTCCATCTTCCAGGTCCCTGAGTGAAGCTCTAGTATCAGCTCTCACTGTCCACTGGATCTCCCCATAAAGCTTAGCAGACCGTCTCTCTAACCAGCAGTCTACAGACTTACCAACTCCATCTATCTCCACTCCACCAGTTTCAGGCCTGGAGGAAACAGCCCTGTTCTTTGCTCCTGTTCATGCATATCTATCAAAATTAAGTGCTATGTTTCCTGCTGAGGTCTGAGCGCCACACACCAAGTAATTGTATCAATAAATTTCTTCTAATTGTCTTTTCTCTCCGTGTGAGTTTTTCAAACTGAAATGTAAAATTATTGGCGTATAAACAGTAATGATTTTTCCAATATTTTTGAAAGCAGAAAACATTTCAAAAGTGAAACTTTAAAGAAAAATCTACAAAAATAACTTCTAATTGACTCAGATCACTGTTGCTCATAAAGGGCAAAGTGACGCGGTAGTAACTTCCTGTCCAAGCTGACCAATAGAAACGTGTCTACAGTCCATCCGTCAGAGCAAGCCCCGCCCTTGACATGTAGAGGAAGTAAAAAGGGATTTAAAAAGGAAGTTATTTGTGAAGCTAAGCCCCCACCCCCCCTCAAAAAAATTTTAAACATAAAATCTGAAATTTGGATAGCAAATAAAGAAAAAGTATTTGAAAAATTGCTCATCCGCTTAGGTCCACAAAAACTCACAACAAGTAGTTTGTGTGTTTTGATGATAAATATATGATATTTAGACATTTTAATTAATAAATTGATTGGTATTTGACTGTTTTTCATCCTTAAATTGTTTAATGGAAAACTCCAATCTCAAAAACATGTGCAGGTCATTACTTTCTCATTCATTGAGGAGAATAAAAACAACTAAAGCTCATTAAATGTGTCAGGGTGACATGATTTTAAAAGCAGATTCTTTAGAAGTTTGACTCTTAGATAATTTAATGGACTTTATCTTCTTCTAATTAATATTATTGTTATTTCAAACAGCTGTTATGGGATGTATGCTGTGGTCCAAAAGGGAATGAAAAGCATGCAGGCAGGAGTTAAATGGAATCTGTCTCTGATTACTGGAATGGGGCAAAGCGATGATAGCTGGACCTTTTGACACAAGCAGATTTCTTAGTGAATCGGCCTCGTTTTTCTGCATCCTCAGAGCTGTTTCCATGCAAATGATGCTTTTCTGCAGGTTTATGGCAGCTGGGACTTTTGCATTTAGATGCATCGATGGGTTATTCAGAGGTTAGCTTGCGTCGCAACATGCTTGTCATTTTGCAGGAATGGAAACGAGCATTGATCCTTTCCTAATCCAGCTAAATAAAAACACAGGCAGCCTTTTCTATGCTTACAATGATTGTGGATGGATGGATGGATGTGGATTTTTTTTTCAAGGATCGAATTAATAAAAAAAAAAAGATGCTGAAGATTCTTTCACAGATGGGAACAATTTTAATCTAACAGAATAAATAGGATGTTTTTCATGTTTTTATAGGAATGCATTTGGAGACCTAAAACAGTTGGATTATAAACTTTTTAAGTTTGGAATAAAGTATTTTTTTTTCGTATTTTTTCCGAATTTGAACAAAGGTCAGACTCCTGGTCTTCTGATTGGAGCATCTCCAAATCAACGCTTCACCTCCGTTTCATTGTACTTCCTCTTCCTCGTTGAACCAATTAATTTTTCCAAACTTGTTCCTACTTCTTCAACTAAAAATAACCGAAATGTGTCTCAATCGCCACGTTGGAGAGACGAGCAGCCCTGCAGAACATCCCTCCGTCTCTGCACAGCCCTGCCAGCGCTGACTTCCTGTCTGACACCACCACATCCTGTTGATAACTGACTCCTTTCCACCCTCCGTCTCTTCTCCCTCCTCTCCACGTGGCAGCAGATGCATCATCTCTGCAGTCGGGTGACAAGGCAACAGGCTAGACCCACCTCCCTCCTAGAGGGGGGTCAGATAATTGTCCTGGATAACAGTTCAGAGAGTCTGAAAGTCACGGTCGGATTGTCGGGAAACGGTTGCAGTTTAATTTCAGACACTTGAACCAAGACATACAGGATGTAAAATTTAAGCCGTAAAAAACACATTTCTGACACAAACAAATTGTCTCTGAGGTCATTTATGTTCCAGGGAGGAAGGGTCATGTGGGAACCAGCCGCTTGTGAGCCTAGCGTCGCCTTCCCTGAAGCTAAGACATAACAGTAATCCAATGCTACAGCCCAGGTCTCAGCATCTCAGCTTTAAATAGACCCGATTGGACATCTGCTTCACAGAAGAAGAGGAGGAGGTGCCGAAAAGATAGCTGAGAGCGCCTCTCACTCCTTCTCCTCTATCTCTCCTCCTGCGCTCATACAGGAATTAATGCCTGTGTAAACGTGAGCACACTCAGCTCTCATCTCTGCTGCTGTAATCTGCGCGTGATAATCACAATGGCAGGCCTGTCACTTCTGAACTGTAGGTGTTGCTGCACCCTTACATGTTAGCTATGCATATAAATGTCTCTGCGAGCAGGAATATGCAGGTGAGACCTCTAAAGGGGAGGCTTTATTTATAATATTTACAACTAAAGGTTCTTGTTCTCACCTTGCTGTTTGTGGATTTTCTTTCGGTTCTTTCCTTCTTGCTTCACTTTAAGGTTAACATCTTAAAATTCCACCAGAAGCAGCAGAAATAGGAGCGATGTCTGACTGGGAGCTTAGCTGTTCAGTCCACATGTGGTTTGGTAAATGTGGAATACATATGAAATGTTGGGCAACAATCGGGTTGCTTTCTCTACAACAGTTCAATTCAGTTCAGTTTATTTATATAGTTCACCAACAGTTTAAAATCTCCATAGAAACCCTGTTGACCTTCTTTCCTGTTTAGGTTAGGAACATGGATGTTGGTAGTCTCTCATCCTGCTGATGAGCTAATAAACATGATCTGTGGGGCAGTTAGTCTTGTTAGGCTACCTCCGAGTTACACTTTATGCAGGTGATGTTCTGCAAAGACGTGAACAGTTTACATCATGAGCTGCAGCAGTTTGCTTTTAAAATGGGAGTCACCTCCTATAGTACCTGGCTCCCTGCGAACCATCATAGACCTGCTAAAGATCGTCCTGAATTAAACAGTGACATCCTGTATTGAACAGACGGGTAGAGAAGTACTGGAAAGGTCAGGCATTTTGTCCAACCAGAACATTTGGTTATAAAATATAATGGATGAATGGATGGATGGATGGATGGATGATGGAGGGATGATAGATGGATGGATGGATGGATAGATAATGGATGGATGGATGATGGAGGGATGATAGATGGATGGATGGATGGATAGATAATGGATGGATGGATGGATGGATGATGGATGGATGGATTAATATATAGATGGATGTAGGGATGATGGATGGATAAATGGATGGATGGATGATGGATGGATGGATGGATGGATGGATGATGGATGGTGGATGGATAAATGAGTGGATGGGTTAATATATGGATGGATGAAGGGATGATGGATGGATAAATGGATGGTTGGATGGATGGATGGTTGATGGATATTTGATTATCCTAGGAGTTGGGGGATTAGCGATGGTGACCTCGGGGACGAAGGCCTCTGAACATCAGTCACATATTTTAACATATTGTCATTTTAACAACTATCTTATTTATTTTGGTAATGTCAAAAATTTCTGAATCAATTTAAAACTGAAATATGTTTATAAAATTGAGGAGATATATTTTCCAAAAACATCATGCAAAAAACCTAAAGTGTGAGCAGAAACAGGCTGACTGTCTAATTGTCTCATCATTAGGGTTTTATAAACGCCTGTCTTAAACCACACAGTGAACACTTTTTCACGAGGAATGAATAACTGCTCTGAGTTTTATCCTAATTGGGTAGAAATGTTTGGAATGTGATCTCTTCCAGGAGCCATCTATCCATCCATCACACACAAAGCCTGTCTGTATTTAGGAGGCTGGGAAGGTAGATTGTGAACAGAGTTTGTTCCAACATTTGAATTTTTGCATGCAGCTCCATCTCAAGGAAGACAGGAAGAGGAAAAGATCTGAGTGACTTTGAAAGAAGGCCGAAATGCAAAAAATATCTTTGATGTACAATGCCTCTGGTGGCCGGTGGCTCCAAAACATCTGACTTCAAAAGGCCCACATTCACACACGGTTAACCTCTGATGAAGGCTACATGTTCTTCAGAGTCATCAGGGAGATCTCCTCCTGCTGATCTTTGCACAGATGGTCGTTTTGAAGCCAGTTATGGAAGAAAAAAGGTTTAAATGCTATAAAATTAGATTTTTTTATCCATTTAGGCCCAAACAGGATCATCAAACTCAGCTTCCACCAAGCGCTCAATTCAAACTAACACATAAACATTAAACCAAAGCTGCATCTCTTCTTCTGCTTCATGCATTTAATGCTTTAACCAAAGATGTGGAGACATTTGGACTTTATTCACCCAGAGACATAAAGGACGTTCAGTCCCAGATCTGACCAATCAGAGGACTTTTTGCAGTTTATGGGACTGAACAGCAGCGTTGAGGT